TTATATGAATCTAATAAAAACTCAATTTTCAAAAAATTGTAAAAAAGGGCTGTTTTAATAGATAACACCCCATATGTGTTGCCATTTATAATTATACATAGCTGAATTTGTGTTTTTACATTTTTAGGTATTAGCACTTATCCTAGGACTTTTATTTGACCATTGATCGAAATAGCCTTTTTGTACTTTATAAATGTGGCAAATATCTACTTCATCTTCATAATGTCTTTCTAGTAGAATTATTATTAAATAATGAAAAAGTCAAGAGGTTTATATTCCTTTTGAGAATTACCATTTCGATGTGGAAATGGTATTTATTTAATGACTCTGGTTTATTTTCTTATTTGAATATTAATGGAGTATTTTGTTTATGTGGTATAAATCAATCATTTAATATTACTCACCATGAATTTTGACTTGAGTAAATTGTTAATTGTTTTTTCACATTTTGCAGCTTTAATTGGAGCTGAACTTGATGTACATCACTTTGCGCGTTCTGAATTATAAGTTTAAAGTTTTTAAAACCAATCTTTAAACTAAAAGTTTTTTAAGAATATTTACTACAGTATCTAATTTTTTTAAAAAAATTTCGGTATATTCTTCATACTTTGAATGAAACCAGGTTTGACATATGAGAAATAAAACCAGTTCATGTTATATTTACAATGAAAATTCAATTTTATTGCTATCAAAATAGCACAAAAAAATTTCAGACTACAACTATATCGAGTATTAATTGGCACTGCAATATTGAAAAACTCTGCAATTAAGAGAAATTAAAATTATGTTCTGCTTTAATACATCCTTTCATGGTTTGAGGCCCTTTGCAATTTCTGCATCTCATTTTGCAACTATTCTTATCTAATGTTTCATTACAGTTTTTGCAAACTGTACAACAAGGTTGTTTGCCAACTTTATGTTTGTATACGTCATATATGTATTGACATCCTTCACTTGTGCAAGATCCATTGCAGCAATTATATCGCTCTTTGCATCCTTTACTATAAAAATCTCTACCACAATACTCATACTCATTGTGACAACTATTATTATTATTTTTGCAACAGGAATAAACACTCTTACATCTGGGCGAGCAGAAACTTTTTTCACAGCATTTCCAGTACCCGAGAAACATAGGGTTAATAATCCCAAATGTAATTGTACGAATAAAACATTCGCCAGGATTGTAATTGATTTGAGTATCAATAGGCACACCAGAGTGCACAGGCATATATGAGCCAGGATGGTAAGCTTTTAAAAGACCAGGGTGATATTCATCAAGATTGTTCGAATATACATGTATAATTTTATATAAATGAATTTTAACCGTCTCTGGATGAAACGACTCTGCTTCTAAATGACACTCTGAAATTGCTAGCCTTGGATCAGTCTCTTTAGGACAATTCAAACATTTGACTTTTTTGAAATTGATCTTTATCAGATGCATGGAATGTTCATTCATCAATAAATTATATTTTGCAAGAATTCGACCAGGTTCAGATTCTTTAAAAATATTAAATCTGTTTAATTGATCACTTGTAAAATTACCCTCAACATAAACATTTATAGACGGCAAGCTTTCAAACAACAAAATCGCAAAGTCACTAGTTTTTGCAAGCAAATCATTTTTATTTTCTGTCATTCGATCACATTTTTCTTTTTTCTTATCATATTCACTCTTTGCTATTTCTTTAGCTGCTTCTCGAGGGCCATTTTCAATCTTGTCTCCTTTAGTAACGATAATAGTATTGTCCCAAACATTGCTATCGTAATCTCTTGCTAATGATTCTATAAACTTCGCTTCTCTTTTAAATGACGCTGTTGCTCTGATACCAGTCATTACAAACTATAAAATTGTCGTTATATTGTAAATTTCTTTATCTAAAAGTGCACGAAATATCAAACGTGCAGTCTCATCATCGTTCTTGTTTTCGTCAGAATTATCAAACCCTGGCGTATTGACATAGAAATTGCCATTTCCAATGTTATAAACTGTAACTTTAGTTGTTTGAGAACTTGATGAATTTTCTACTTTTGCATCTCGCATACCAAAAATAGTTCCTGTAATTTCCATTGCCAGTCTTTCCGATTGCAATTATGCATTGTGACTAATACATTAGAGTAGTAAATATGATATATCGTTATCAAAATATAATTATAAATTTCTAGTTCACATGTTCCTATACTTACATGACCTTTCAACATAGATGACTTTAACTTCATTAACGAAAAAGAACAGAAAAATTCATGTAAAGTTTTTTATGCATTAAATAATTATGTACAAATTAAATGATCGGACTTTGGAATCAAATAATGACATCATATATATGTAATTTTTAAGCAGATCATTACGCATGCAGTTTCACATAAGAATCCCTAATATGAGTACAGAACCTAACCATTCGGACAAAAGACTTGTTGCAGTAAGATTCTCGGAATCTGCTTTTTTTTCACAAAGATTTTCTTTTAACTGTCATTTGGTTTATTTAGGATCATTGCTATTAATTAAGACTTCAAAGATGCGATATAAAACACTATACGTGAATAGCTTATGTAGCTAGCTTTAAATTAAATAGACTAAAAAATTATAAATAAAACCAGAACAATTTGGAACAAAAATCCTAACAAAGTACTATATATATTGTCTTTTTTTTTAAAATCTTCGCATTAACATAATTTGCATTATTTGCTACAGTATTAATTAAGACTTTAAAGACGCAATATAAAATACTACTATGCGAATAGCTAATGTAGCTTTTAAATTATCTTTTTATTTAAAATCTACACGTTGACGTAATTTGTATTAGTAAATAATTAAAATAAATTAAACCAAGAAAATGAGTATATATTTAACTACACGCGTCTATAATTATTAAGAAATATATTTCTAATTGTTAGTGTTAGTTATATCTTGAATGAAAGGTTTCTTACGCGTGTGCGGCCTGAATTGATGAAACAAAAATTCTTATGTAACGTAATCAGTATTAGTAATATATTTCAAAAGATATTTATACGAATTTGTAATGCTGCGCTTACAAAACTTCCACAAATAGAATTCCAATATAATTAATAATATATATATTAATTTAGAATTCTACACAAATGAGGTGATACAATTACTAAAACTCTTTCTGTAAATCCCTTACACAAACTTAAATAAAAATTCGTGCATCATAAAATCGCCCATATCTCAATAA